GATTTGGTAAGATATAGCTGTGGCTTCAACTGTGACTCTGCCTTGGTCAGCTCACATAAGCTGGTATGTGTGGGCTGAGCTTATTCTGCAGTTTCTGTTTGTGTGTGCTGAGCTTCTGCAGCTTCTGCAGATACATTATCACAATATGAAACAAAAGAAAATGAGAGTCCAAATCCACCAAATCCTAGAAAAATCAACTAATTCTAAGAGATATCAAAAATGGACTACATTGCTAGATTTCAGAGTCGCTATCTAATATTTTTTTGGGAGCATTAGGAAACCCGTGACTCATGCCAAAAGCCACTTGTCCGTTATAACCAAAGTTGTCTCGGTTTGGGAACTTAGGTATGAGAGGGAAAGGCCATGAATTGAGCACCACACTCACCCGATCAAACATCGGCCTTTACTAAATTATGATGTGAATTTTATAGACATTATATACTCATATTCTTATTTATTAATATGTTAACATTACTATTTGAGGCAAACAAGTATAGACCGTGTCACTTACTTTGGAATGTTTTGATTTCATGCTTTTTAAATATGTGCAACTCAAAGAAAAAATGAGCTCATATGTACACTAATCAAGTCATTCCAATTTAAGCAAAATAACCTCCACCCACAAACATTCATAGATTATTTCAAGTAAACAAATAGCCTCATGGTAATATGCTCAACATGGTAACACACACACGTATGATATGCTAAAGCAAAAAATACTCACATAGTATTCATCCGCGACAAGCTAAAGAAAAGAAGATTAGAAAAATGCATGATCCTAAAAATGCACATGACTAATTCAACACATACAAAATGCAATTGTTAGATTCAGCTACTAACATGACATGTGAAGCAACTCAAAGCATGAGGTAGCACACATAATCAAGTAGGAAATGATAACAATATCACGTATGATGAGCCGAACTTTAATGCGTGCAAAAATGGATGCGAGGCATGGGAACGATATGAAACAAAAACATGATGCTATAAACAGTGATAATAAGCATGTAAATAAAAGAAAGAAAGAAATGGGAGTTAGAAGACATATATCAACTGTTACAAATTTGTCCTCTTACAAGAGGATCTACATGTCCTAATTAATTACTTATTACATCACCGAATGAATAAGCACTTAATTATTACATTTGCAAATATTATAGCAAATAATAAGAGAAAGAAAAAGGAAAAAAAAAGAAAAAAAAGACAATACTAAGGATGGCAATCTGAACCCGGCCTGACGAAAACCCGACCCCCTGATACCGAATTGAGCGATTTTTTCCCGAAAAATACTCCCGACGAGCCGGGGATGGTATTCAAAAATAAATCCCCGATAATATTCGGGCCGGAGATGGTGGTACATTTTCTAGCCTCGGACCCAGCCTAGTCCGGCCTCGACCCCGCCTCGTTTAGCCCCCGATTTATGTATGTGTGTTTAGGTTTTGGTTAACTCACACACAAACACAATTGTTGCTCCTCTCTTTCTATTGCCTTTTTCTCTCTCTATTGCCTCTCTCTTACATACGACTTCCGCTCCTCTCTCTGCTCTCTCACCGCCGCTCTTTTCTCTCGGCGTCGGCGGCAGTTACTCCTCTCACTCTCACAGTATCTCCTCCTCTCTAGTTACTCTCTCTCTCTCTCTCTCTCTCTCTCTCTCTCTCTCTTTGTTTTTTGCTTTTGTTCTTCAGATCTGAAAAATGATGAAGACGAAGATGTTGTTGATGAAGATCTGTTGTTGATGAAAATGATGAAGATGTTTTTTTGATTTGAGCCCAGATCTGTATGTGTGTGTTGTTGTTATTGATGATGATGATGATGATGAACAGTGATGTTGTTGTTGATGAATTCTCATATTTTCTGGAGTTGATTTTTTTTTTTTTAGCCGGGGAATTTTCGGGGTCGAGGAAACTCGATCCCCGTTAGGGAGCGGGGGGTGATGGTTCTCCACTGAGGACCGGGGGCAGGGACAGGGTATTTGATACATTCAGGGAGTGTAATCCCCAGTCCTTCCTTTGCCCATTGCCATTCCTATTCACGAGCAACCACTGAGTACCAACTCCTTACTTCGTGCTCACCGATAGCAAAAGATATGAATTTTCGAAGAAGAAGATGAGTAGATCTACTCAAATCTAATGTACATCATATTTGAGTAGATCTACATTAGATCCGGTTAGATCTATATCAAAAAATAGTTGTCGACATACAAGTATCTCTCTATATCTGTGACACCCAAATTTTTTTTAAAGTTAATTCAATACTGCGTTACTTAAATAAATAGAATTCCGTGTTATATCAGAAAAAAATAAAATAAAAATAAAACATTTGATTCTATAATTATACGTGCCAAAATGAAATCTAAATATATTGTTAGGGGCTAATTCAAAGCAGCTATAAACATATATGTGTTAAAATACGGGGACCATTAAGATTTATCAAAAGATAGTATATGATATATATTTATTAGGCCCAAGTGCAGACTTACAGGTGGCACAACGAAGGGGCATAATTCGTTGGTCAAGCCATGTGTAAGAAATGTGGGGTTTGAGACACTAAATCAATGCCACCTGAGAGCATGGTTTTGTAACACCTGTATAGTAATTAAGTAGGGGGGAAATTTTGCTTGTTGAGCAAGCATATGAACTAAGTATAAAAGGGGGAAAGGTGAAAACGTAGGAGGAGGGCAGAGAAAATAAAATAAAAACAAACAAGAAAGATAATAAAAGCACAGAGTGTGACTCAGAGCATCAAGTGCAATAAATAGTAAGGAATTAACATTAAGATGAGTTATATTATACCTTAAGTCGCCATAATATATTTTACGTATGTTTTGAGTTACCATAATTTATTTTATGCAATTTGTGCTTTATAAATTATATTAAAATTTCGATTACGCAGATTATTTTCTGACCCGTGTTTACTTAAATGGAAACTCATGGATATGTTTATTTAAATTTTAGAAAGTATTTGACAATGACCTTGTAAACAATTATTTTCTACAAGTATCATCACGGGAGTCCCATGCCTTGGGAAACTTAAAGAACCATTGGCCCCTGTTTTGTGATCCTCTATTTGTCATGGATCTATTGAATCCTGTTCTGATTGTCACTCTAGTGACCTCTACTCTGTTCTGTACCGTGGTTATGATTATTTGCTTACATGATTTTCGCATTATGCTTTTGTTATTTAAAATTAATTATGTGTTTTAGTTACCAAACTAATCTCTGTTCTTAGCCAAAAAATTATCCATGGTACTTTCTGTACCCTCATGCTCACTATATAATATTTCTCACTTTGTCATGTACTTATAGCTATTACCCCTTTTAGGTGATGAGATTTAGCAAGATCGAGATTGGGAATGAACCGCAGTGTTTTTTTTATTACTATATGTAATTCTGATCAGACTCTTGTAAAAAAATAAAGCCCAAATGACTATTTTCTTTTTTTAAATAAACTTTTGGTACCCATTTGTTTTATTTAATTTATCTATTTGCACTACTACTACAGAAATATTAAGTTTTTATTGTCTTGTTGCGACACCGAACCTTTGGGTACCAGGTTTGGGTTATGACAATCACTGCGCCAAAACAGGACATTTACGGCGGTTTTTTTAACGGCGGTTTTCGTTACCGCCGTTAAAGATACTATTAACGGCAGTAACGAAACCGTCGTTAATACCGCCGTTAATGTATCTTTAACGGCGGTTTCGTTACCACCGTTAAAAAAACCGCCACTAAAGTATCTTTGACGGCGGTAATGAAACTGCCGTTAAAAAAATGCCACTAAAGCCCTATTTTAACGGCGGTAACAAAACCGCCGCTAAAGCCCTCTCATTACCGCCGTTAATGACGGCGGTCTTTGCCAGCAGAGCTCCGGTGGAGTTCCGGCGAGTGGTGACCACGCGCGGCCAGAGGTTGAACATGACCATCTACAATAAAGCAAAAGTAATGTTTAAATATTTATTTAGGGAATATATTTCATATAGAGTGGCTGTGGTGGAGTGGTTGGCATGCGTGGATTAAAGGTCAAGGGTTCGAGACCTGGGGGGTGCAGGAAGAGAGAATTACTTTTTTAAAAATTTGAACCTATTTACGGCGGTCCTAAATTACCACCGTTAAAGGATAAGGCGGTAAAAAACTGCCACTAAGCCTAATTTTGGCGTAGTGAAAAGTGGTATCAGAGCAATGGTTTTGGGTAAATATATATATATATATATTTAGTTTGTCTAACACGATTAAACCATTTTAAATATCTCTAAGTTAAGTCTTCCTGTGTTGTAGGAAATGGCAAACCTAATGGAGTTATTCTGGTTCGAGCCCCCAGGAGCTCATCTTATCCTGAACCTACTAGAAGGCTAGAGGGATTTAGAGAGTCTTGTCAGGCAAGCCCACCCAACACTTGACCGGCTCATGGGGAGATCCGTATATTGGCAGGCCGACCCCGATGAGGATTTCTTATTTTGGAGACTTAGCCAAGGTAGCACTCGTGAGAGGTACATAGGGCCGACCCATGTTGTTGGTCTTGCTCCAAACCTAGGACAACCGCACTTTCTAGTCGCACTTCTATCCCTAGGCTTTATGGAGAGAAGGGGACATGCATACCCTAGCAGCCACATTCGCACTATAACACCTCATCCACAACACATTGTCTATACCCCAACTGTAGACTTCACTAACAGTGCATCGTACTTGGAGATACTGATACGGATTACTGGCTGAGAGTTTTGGGGTTATGATCACGGTGTTCCTGCCTATATAGTCTAGGTGGTATGGCGATGCTTTGGAATAAAGCACAGTGGCTGGAAGTTTGAGTCACTCATGCAAAGTGAATTTGCGGGGTTATTTCATGGCTAGTTGTTCAGAGCCAGTTTTTGTGGTGGCCGAACGGTCTGTTTTAGATGTCCGACCAAGAGATTTTTGTGACCTGACCATGATTAGTCTGATCCTTATGTTTTTGTAGTAGGAGGATTAGATACTAATTCTTGATTGTTATCTAAGTATGTCGTATTAACATCTTTTCTTTTGCATAAGTAAAACAAGTATTGTGTAAATGATATATGTTAAAGGTCCAATGGTGTAGATTGGAGGGAACATGGATGAAAGAGCCTCCAAAACGTTATGTTCTAATTTCTCAAATGTATTGAAAATAATCGCGGAGGCTCTGTGAGCTCTCTCCATTTCACCAAGCACAAAATCAATCATAAAATCGTTTAGATCTGTGGTTCGAAGAAAAGTTGGTAAATCCTTCAAACGTATACCTTTCATACCGGGTATCCAATCAATAACTGTATCCAAATACCCATTTGTCATGTAACTCTTATCTGCACATCACCCCCAAAAAATAATATCAGCACCAAACTTAAGATATTGTATTGAAAATCTCAATAAATTCAAAAATTAATAATAATAATAGTAAAGATTTTAAAAATTTTATTAAATCTTTTATCAAATATTTCATATAAATATAAAATTCACATTATATAAATTTCATATAAATCTCAAGTCAATATAAAACGTTTAATAAAATTTTTAGAACCCCTAAATTAAGTCTATTAATAAATATAGATAGGATAGCAGTAAATGCACACTTTTCTAGGAGTACAGATGCAGACTCAGAATATCTTTTCAAAAATTTATCTCTACTCTGTCAAAAATTTTTTTTTTTGATGCAATCAAGTAAATTTTCAAATTTTGTATTGACTTTAATATCAAACTAGTGACCGATCATGTGCACCAAGGATCCTCTAGAGTGAAATTTCTCTAAAATTTCCTAGAGTGCTACATTGTGTGGTTGAGATTTATTGACAAGTCACATCAGAAAAATTGATGTGACTTGCCAGTAAATCTCAACCACACAATGTAGCACTCTAGGAAACTTTAAGAAAAAATCACTCTAGAGGATCTTTGCTCGATCATGTGATAGAGAAATTAATCTAATTTAAGATGAGAGATGACGTGTTATCAATCCAATTAAACATAATAATAATAATGCTATATAAATACAATTTTTATGTAAAAAATTCACACAGAAAAGAACAAAATGTCACTCATGCAGTATTTTTTTATGCATTTTTCGTACAAATGAATTATTTTTAATTAATAAAAAAAAGTGTTGATCTAACATACTTGAATGCATGTAAATGTATACATGTAATTTAATTAATATATATTAATTGAATTAATAATACCTTTAAGTGGAATATAACCCTTATCGATAAGATTACGATACTGTTCATAACCCATGAAGCCACAAGCACTAGCTGTCCATAAAAGAACTTCGTCCAGAAAAGAACTTCAGGGATGCCCAATTCTTCAGCAGCATCCACAGTGAAGCTCATAGCCCCATCGGAGACTATGCAAGTCACCGGCGGGACGTTCGACGAAGCAGTGTCGTTTAGCTTCGAAAGAAGGTCTTTAAAAGGAGCCAAGCAGTGTTTCCTGGTGGACTCGCACAGTGATGGGATGTCTTGGGTTGCATTGGCATCGGACTCGGGGAGCCCATCGGGTATGGTTTCGAACCTGAAGGAAGAGAGCCCGTTGAGGGAGTCGGGGCCCCGAGATTTGAGGAGGCGTTTGTGGTTGAACTCAGTGTTGACAAAGGTGATGTGAAAGCCTCTTTGGTGGAGGAGTTTGGAGAGTTTGAGCATGGGGTTGATGTGGCCTTGAGCTGGGTATGGTATACAAACTGCATGAGGTTTTTCTAAGTTGCCCATCGAACCCATTCTCTTTCCTCCTCCTCTTCTCTCAATTGGGATATTATAATTTGCTTACGAATCACGCATTATGGTTCTTGTTTTATAGCCCCATAAACAACGACTGGGTTAAATGTTTACGTACGTGGTGATGGATGGGGGATGGAGATAGTGGGCATTCGCACATTAAAAAAATGGGCATTTGAACATTAAAAAAAAGAACATTTTTATTTATGATAAAATATTATATTTAATTTTTAATTTTAGTAATGGGGTAATTAATTAGAATATTAAAAATAATATTCTCTTATAATTGTTGTCTATTTTTTTAATGAAAAATTAAACAAGTTACGATTATCGAATCGACCTAATTTTTTATGTGAATGAAATACATGAGTGTCCGACAAAATGTATGATTTGGATTGTTGAAACGAGAAGACCCCACTGGCCCAAACAACACCCTCCAGTCCAAAATCTGGATTGGAAGGGATTCTCCTCCTAAAAATCATATTTAATTTTTAAGTTTAGTGATACAACAATTAATTAGAATTTTAAAAGTAACAATCATTCATATATATGCTTTAATTATCAACCAATCATATCACTTAAATATCATAAAGTTTAAAAAATTAGTTTAAAAAGTGTGTTTGTATATCATTTCCTTTATATTAAAAAAAAAAAAACTTTGCCGACTATAAGGCCGAAAACGACATATGTGCTAATTGACTATTCATTAAATAAAATGATTTACATGTTCATTTTCTAAATCCAGTGATTAATAATCAAAAAATAAATAAGAAAAAGAACTTATTTAGGGCGTCCACAATGGGATAGCCAAAATTATTTGTTTAAGTGTGTTATATGACAAAAAGTGATAAAGTGGGGCTCAAAAATGTTTGTTAAGATGTGTTAAGAGTTTGTTAATTTTAGAAAGTGAGTGGTGGTGCAATGGATGTGTTAAAGAGTGTGTTAAGGTGTGTGTTAAATATATATATATATATATATATATATGTGTGTGTGTGTGTGTATAATAAATAAAATAAATAAATAATTTAGTTTAATCAAAAATTTCAACCCAAAATTAAATTTCAAGTCCAAAAAAAAAATCCCAAAAAGTTTAAAAAAAAAAAAAATGCCGTTGACTAGTCAGCCGGTCGGACATTCGGCCGGTCAACCCGTAAGACAAAAACCACACTTCCCCTCCCTCGCTAGAACACTCGCTGCAGATAAAAAGTTCTCACATCATTTGTTTAGTGTACTAATTGATATTATATGTGCCAATTAGTGTACTAATTAGTGCATATTGCATCACTGTTAAAAATTGGATCTAATTTTTTGCAGCGGTACTACACGCACCAATTGATACATTAATTAGTATACCAACATATGTTATGATATTATTATTTTAAAACTATGACTCCTACCCATTATATAAATTATAAAGATTTAAAATCTCTAAAATTATACTACATCATCTATTAATATATTTAAATATACCAATTGATATATTAATTGATTGGTGGAACAGCCGAAACTTTATTCAGACGTTAGTCGGCGTCGTCGACAAATCCGAAATTCTGACTGAGAACTCGTTCACATTCAGTGTACGTTGTAGCCTCACGCAGGTCAAGTCAAACTAATAATTCTTTAATCTTATTTTTCAATGTTAAAATTGTCAATCTGTTCCACAAAAAAGAGTTAAAATTATCAAACACTAATAATTCTTTAATCTTATTTTTCAATGTTAAAATTGTCAATCTGTTCCACAAAAAAGAGTTAAAATTATCAAACATGTCACGCAAAAACAGTTGTGTTCGGAAAAAATAAATAATTTTTTATAAATAAATCAATTAATGAGAATAAAAATTAATATGAAAAAATTAAATCAAAAGTAACACAAGAATTTTATGTAGTTCTTTCAATATGAAGTACGTTCACGGGATTGAAATCCAATTCCATTATCAACAAAATAATTTCTAAATGATTACAAACGATATACGAATGATCTCACAAATCATCCTTAGATAAATTCTAAATAAACAAGAGAAAAAATCTTACCAAATAAATAAAAAAAATATTTAAAACAAAATTAAAGAAAACCCGAAATAATAACCAATTCAATCTCCAAGCACCAGCCGAAATTGACAATACTTCAGAGGAGAACTTGAAGCCAATCAAATCTTCCAAGCAACCAATTGAAAAAGCTACCCACAGAATTGATGCATGTAGCAGCCGCAGTCCCTTGGATTTTTTCCTTGAGAAAAACAAAACAATACTAATAAATATTATGAACTCTTACGCTTTTCGTCAAAAATTTTAGTTGTATCAAATTGATTATGATCAAATTATTGAGTTTTTTAAAATTAGATATAATATATTAAAATATATTATAATCAACACCAAAACAAACTAAATTCTTTTAATAAATTAATTAGGTCCCATACTCCAATAAGAAGATATACTCAACAATTTTTCCGTTACCGACTTAGGTGGAGGCAACAACCATACCCACCAAAGTTCAACACTTCAAATGTTTGTCCCTCGGCAAAGTCTTAGTCAACATATCCGAAATATTATCATTTGTGTGGACCTTTTTGAGTTGCAACTATTTCAAATCTAACACATCACGAATCCAATGGTATCTCACATCAATGTGTTTCGATTTCGAATGAAAAGTAGAAATTTTACTCAAATGAATAGCACTTTGGCTATCACAATAAAGCATATATCTTTCTTGTTTCAAGCTTAACTCTTGCAAAAATTTCTTCAACCATAACTCTTCTTTGCAAGCTTCCGGAATGGCAATAAATTCAACTTCGGCAGTTGAGAGAGCAACACATTTTTGTAATTTAGATTGCCATGCCACAACTCCCCTTGCAATTGTCATCAAATACCTCGAAGTAGATTTTCTAGAATCAACATTACTGGCCATGTCGGAATCTGTGAACCCATCCACTACAGGAAATTGCACTTTTACCGACTAAAAATTTAGTCGGCAAAAGTCCATTTTTAGTCTGCAAAAATTATCCGCGACTAATATTTTTGGTTGCCACTTTGGTCGCCATTTGAGGGTTGCGAAAAATAATTAGCGACTAAAAGGTTTTTTAGTTGGGAAAAAAATCTATTGCCGACTAAATTTTTGATCGCTAAATGTATAATTACTGCGACTAATCCATTTAATAACTAAAACACTTTAGTTGCAAAAAGTCATTTTTTCCCGACTAAACATATTAGTCGCCAATTATCACATTTGACAACCAAACATGCTAGTCGTCAATTGTCACATTTAACGACCAAACAGTTTGGTCGGCAATTGTCACATTCCACGACTAAAAAGTTTGGTCGCCAATTGTCATATTCCACGACCAAAAAGTTTGCTCGTCAATTGTCACATTTCACAACCAAAGATGTTAGTCGCCAACAAAAATGTTTGCGCAACTAAAACTTTAGTCGGCAATTGAACTATTAGCAAAGAAATCCTTTGATTGCCAGAATTAATGATTTTAACGACTAAATATTTAGTCGCCAAATGTGCCGTCTCACCTACCTTATTTAGTCAGCAAAAGTATTACTTATCTTTCTCGACTAATCACTTGGTCATCAAAATAGGAAAAACAAAACCAAAATAACATCCAACAAAATAAACCTATAATTCCTAATAATTCATCTAATCCATTTAATATAATATGTAATTTGTAAGCATCATTCAAATCAACTGAATCATGAACATTTGACAAAATACATAAATCATCCAATCTTGAACTTGTTTAATGAAAGTCAGCAACTATTATAAGTTTTCATCCACAAGTAATTCCAAACTACATATTCCTCCAATTAAAAATTCATTTGTAATTTATATAATCATCCAAGTCACATCTATCTAGCTTAAAAATTTAAAACATAACAAGTACTTGTTATTATGTTTTAAATTTTTATCCATGCTCATCTATCAAAAAATATAAGTAGTAGTCCACCCAAATATTTTCCATACACATCCATCCAAAAATATAACTACTATTCTACCCAAATATGTTCCACCAAAACATCTATCCAAAAATATTTAATTCTTCAAAAAATGTAACAAGTGTCAACTAGTCCTATACAATTCAGCTTCGTGCACGAGTTCATCCATCTATACCAAATAAAAAGATAAATAATGTCAGATACTTTTTTATGAAAAATTTGCACATAAAATTATTGTAAAATTGGACAAAAAATAAAAAATTTCCAATTTCAATTAAGGTAAGAGGAACAAATTATTAAACTTTCAATATTAGTTTGTAAATAAAACAAAATTCATATCTATATATCCAGCCAACATTACAATTCTATCAATATGATCATTTCCAATGTTGTTTGTCGTCTACTTTTAATATCAATCGCATTGGCATCGTCACCAGAGTTTTTCATCTGTGGTTTTTACTCAAATAAGGCTTCTTTTTATTGTTCTTTAAAGAAATGTTTGTTTTTGTTACTATTTCAAGAACTATGTGGAAAATGTAGTGTTTTATTGCTGGCTCGAGCTATTTTGAACTTAGAAATCACACCATTGTTTAAAGAGTCGTTGTAAGGTATGGCAAC